GAAAACAAAACCCCAAGATTTCAGCCTCGTGACTACTGATCGTCCCCACAGTCCCCATATTTCTGATGTTCTTTTTCCATATGACTAGGTTCCCCACACAAGAATTCTCTGCCTTTGACTTTCGGAAATTAATGCATTTAAACTTGACTTCTACTTGGTTCCACAGTTCACCCACCTGCCTCCACACTGACCACTTTTCCAAGTTACCCAGTCACTTGGTCCTCTTTCTTTCCAGCTCTCCCTCCCCCTGAAGTCAAGATCCCTGATCTCAGGATCCCCAAGGCCAGAGTAAGGTGATTTCCTTATGTTCCTGGGGAAGGTGGAGAGGCACAGACAGCACGGAGGTTGTGGGAGATCGGTCGTGCAGGAGACCTTTTTAAAGATGATATCATTTTAAGCTTTAAACGTAGGGAATACAGTAATATATATAATATTATAATACAGAAAGTACCATCCTTCTGGGAAACTTTGAAGCATCACACACTTCCAAGGAGCTACAGTAGTGACTGACACAAATGCAAATCCACTGAATGACAACCAAGACTGACTAGATAAGTAGGGCAGGTCTCAGCCCACCGCCGGCAGAGCTATGGAGCTGTGGGACTCGGGCAGCGGGCTTCTGTCCTCCTTGTTAGCAGCCTTGACTGGGTCCCTCCACCTTAAGCATCCCAGGGGTCCCACTGTCCTAAAATTCTTCTTGCCTTTCTTCCTCTTATTTACTCCTTCTCTTGCTCTTTTCTTCTTTTTCTTCATTACATTTCTCTCCTTTATGACAAAGCCCAAGGTTTTGCATGGACGAGGAGGAGGGGAGAGTTGTACTACTGGTAATACGACTAGTAAAGACCGAGCGTTAGCTTTATTGTAGCTGACACTTCCCCTGTGCTGGACCCTGTTATAAGGGCTTTACGGAGATTAAATAATTCATTTAATCCTCCCAGTAGCCTGTGAGTATAATCCATGCTTTCTCAGATGGGGAAACTGAGGCAACTTGCCTGAGATGGCACAGCTAATAAGTAATGGAATCAGGATGTTTAACCCAGGATTGTGACTCCAGAGGCTGTGCTCTTTGACTACTAAACTACCCTCAATATAGTGAAGTTGTGGCAGAAGGTGATTTAAAATTTCAGTTTTTTTCTATTTTCTTCCTGAACCTAGAAAGTCAGTTTCATTTCTTGTGATAACTCTGATCAGTGGTACTTTCCTTTTGGAGTATGGGGAGCAAGGACCCTCTGGGCACAGCAGGTAAAGTGCAGTGACTGATGCTGTTGTGAGCAAAGCCGCCAAAAGAGAGAATGTGGGGTGGGGGGTTGGTACTGGGAACCTGCTGGTCATCACCTAGACCCTGGTCATCCCCTTACAGGCCAGCCTGGAGAGTACAACTTTGAGCCCTCCTTTTATCTTTTTTTTTTTTTTTTTTTTTCTGGA